TAAAAAAAAAATAAGGTGGATATTTTGGATGTTAAAATATTTTCTGTTATGCTAGTTTAAAACACAGAAACAACAAGACATTTGTAGGTTGATTTAACTGAAAAGTATAAACATTGTGGCTCTGTGACACAACACAAAAAATAATTTATTTGACCATCTCAACCAGCCTGACAGCAACGGCTGTCATCAGTATTATGTATTTGTCTGACCAATGGCAGATGGGGGGAGTGCTCAAGGCACCTGTCTGAAAAAATCATTGTTTTATAATTCCATTTAGTGACACTACTAAGAGCAGTTTTAAAGTCGGCATAAATGACTGTTTGCAACCTATTTTCCATAATCTGACACATCTCAGAGGGACACAGAATTTCAGTGAGATTCAAAGCAGAATATTTATTTTCATATTTTAATTTCACGTCGGCTTTAATGTATACATAGTTCAGTGTTTAGTTTAGCCTGGTTTTGTAGATTGTATGTCACAAAAATCAATCCAGATTTTATTCACTAAATTTCATACAAAGGATAATTTGTGTCAATACAAAGACCTTAGCTGATCACATCAACTCTGGAGCCATACTATGTGTTATTTGCTCGTGCAAAATTATTTCAAATGAACACTTTTAATGTTTACGAACACAGTTTGATTCTGTTCCATATTTATAATATACACAATGAGATCATTTTAGCCAACCAGCTGCATGTATTTATGATTTTCAAAATGTTCATTTAAATATATACAGTATGTATATCAAATGGATATATATTTTTTCTTAATCGTTACTTTCATCTTCATAAAGTAAAAAAGGCACACTCAAATGTCCTGAGAGAAATAAGTACAATGATTCAGAAAATAGCTATTTTACTACAACAGCATGGTAAAAGATTTGTTTCCAGTTTTGTTAGAAATTAAAAGAGGAAGATGGCAATGATCTCTGATATGTTCATATTCTCAATGCATCTGGAACCATGACGTTTATTTACACTTGATACCTTTTTGTTTCCTGAGTACTCTATGCATTAGTTTGTGACAACACTCTAGCTTGAAATTTGTTTCTGTGCATTTGTATATAGCTCATAAATGCCTTTGTAGATACTGGATTGATAAAACTGAGTACAGATACTGCTGCACTGTAATATAGATGTACTTCTGTATTCAGTTGGTCTGACTGTA